CTGAGGTCGTTCATTCTTGTCTCTCCCGCTCCAGGGCAATGTTCCGGATCCACGTGAGTCCAGTGAATCGGAGGTGGTGCCGGAAGGACTGCCTGACCTGTCGGAGGCGCTGGAATCGCTCGGCCTGTTGGAGTACACCGCCGTGTTTGACAAAGAGAAGATCGACGTGGAATCTCTGGTAATCATCCGGCTAGTAACGGTTCTCGGGTATCCCGGGTCATGGCAGAGCCGGGGGGTCCCATTCACCTGGACCCATCCCCCGAGCGTACCAGGGACGTGTGCCCCGAGCGTACCAGGGACGTGTGCCCCGAGCGTACCAGGGACGTGTGCCCCGAGCGTACCAGGGACGTGTGCCCCGAGCGTACCAGGAACATGCACCGACATTTATATCCACACAAGTAGCATAGACCCCTTCATCCGACCACCACGGAATGTGTACGGGGAGATGTTGGTGGTCCAGGAACAGGACGGGAGGTGTGAAAGTTGGGAACTCGCCTTGTTCTAGTCCCATGATTCCGGGGCCGGGAAGTCTGCGTTGGTGATAATCGTTTGATTTATATGGCTGAAGGTGTAAGTTGTCAAATGGGGGTTTTGCTCCAGACGCAATGTCCAGGATGTGGCGCAGTCCCTTCATCGTGGTGGCGTATGCTGCCTGGCTGTACAGCAATAATACGGGCAGACTACACGAACACAGACGTGTATTAGGGTTGGTGATACGTATGGGGGGGGGGAATGTCGGCCATCTTTATTCCTTCACATTGCGCAATGACAGTCCGCCTTGTCTCGGTCACTAGATGGCGCCGTGTGTAACTGCCATTTCTTCCCCTCAGCTCATGTGTACAATTGATGACCTGAAGGAGATGGGGATACCGCTGGGACCCCGAAAAAAGATCGCCAAATATGTGAGAGAGATGGCTGCCAGCCAGGTAACGGATGCCAAATACACCGACCCTTCCTTCCGCTGAGCGCCTAGAGGCCGGGGGCGGGCACGGCGAGGAGAAAACTGCCGGTCGGGGCCTCGGTGTCCTCCGTCAATGTCCACTATGAACACTTCGAGACGGGAACTGGGCAGGTAAATGTTCTTCATCCTCCTCTCTGTGCTGTCCTGAAGGATGCCGATAGGTCACTCCATCCAATCCCTTTCCTCCCGTACACCGATAGATGTACTCGCAGTACTCCGGGGGTCGCCCTGATGTGTACCAGACCCCCGGGGGTCGCCCTGATGTGTACCAGACCCCCGGGGGTCGCCCTGATGTGTACCAGACCCCCGGGGGTCGCCCTGATGTGTACCAGACCCCCGGGGGTCGCTCTGAGCTGTGCAGTGAGTGGATCTGTTCTCCTTTCAGGTGTCGGTGAGTTACAATCTGCTGGATTTCGAGCCGGTGAATTTCTTTGCTCTTGGATCTCCTATCGGGATGTTTCTGACTGTCCGCGGACTGAGCAAGATTGAAGAGAACTACAGATTACCCACCTGCAAGGGCTTCTTCAATATTTATCACCCGGTAAGTCCAAATTGGGGTCGGTAGGGGTGGGCAACCGGTCAATATGTAACTTTATTTTAAAACGTACAGCGCTAACCGTCCTTCAGAGGTGCATATAAGAACTCTGACGTTCAAGTCAGATTTTAACAAATACTAATTAATAATTAATAATAAAACATTCAGTGAAGGGGTGTGTCTCAAAATATTCAATGTGAATCAGTTGTGTGATAATACATCAAAAACAGACAATGTATACCTCAAAACAGACAATATGTAGCTTATCTAAGTAACATGTGTAGGTGATTCTTGTTATAAATAGTGAATGAACAAAACAATGTGTACCAATTGAATAAAATGAAATAAAAATAAATCTTTTTTCAATGTATGTGTGAGTAGTCCAAATCTTTTGTAGTTTTTTTAAAGTTTTTTTAAAAGTCTTTAAAAATCCATAAATGTAAGACACTTAAAAAGTGAAAATTCGGTGCAATAATGTGTCCAACGAAACTCCAAAATAACGAAACAAATGAAAAAAATGAATGAAGAAAAAAATTGAAGACAAAAATAAAAGGCAAAGTATCGAAAAAGTGTGGAAAAAATGTAGAAAAATGCAGCAAAAATCCCCTCCAAGGAAATGCACTCACCAGATCCGAAGATGTTAAACACGTTTGTTTCATCAAGGTAAGTCTGCAGCTCCGTCTTTAGTATCCACACTCCATCAGGCTAGGAAAGGTCTCCCGTTTTACCCGTGATGTTTAAACGGAATATCCTCGAGTGCCTTTTTGTTCAGCGGCTTCCCCTATCCTTTTTAGACCAATCTATTTATATCTATTTATATCTATTTATGTTTATCCAGTTTTATCCAATCTAAACTTTTATCCATATTTTATTATTCTTAGTATTCCCATTAGCGCAAGTTCTTTGTAATTAATATGTAACTTTAAATTGGAGCCGGAGGGTGGGGGGGGGCTGGGCAGCAGTCTGTAAAGCGGCACAACGGCCCAGCGGAAATAAGCAAAATAAATCTGAAGAGTTGCAGTGGTGCTTCTGCTTGCAGGTGGCAGCGCTCCGCCATGTCTGGAAGGTCTAGCAAAGTGGTCTCCAATCTGCAGGCCGGATGCAGAACTCTTCTTGCCCTTATCCTTTAGCCTTGGGGGCGCTATTCTTCCCACTGGCCTAAATGATGGGGCAAAATTCCTCCCACCCTGACCATTAAAGGGGCACAATTTGTCCAACACTGGGGGCATGATTGCTCCTCCCACTGGCACTGGGGGTCATGATTGCTCCTCCCACTGGCACTGGGGGTCATGATTGCTCCTCCCACTGGCACTGGGGGTCATTATTGCTCCTCCCACTGACCACATGAGCTAGATAATTTTTTACTACCACTGATCCTTATGCATCTTCTCTAACTAGCCAGAGTCTGCCCCTCCTAAAGCCCGGAGGACATTGAACTGGCCCTTTATTTATAAAGTTTGGGGACCCCCCTGATGTAGACCTTAAAGGAGAATTATGAGGCAAGTGATTTTGTTGGCTGGGAAGTGAGGGAACGCATACCGGCGCTCGCTCACTCCTCGATCTATCCCTGCCGAGAGCCGTGATTGTCACTCACTGCGGGGATTCCCCCGCTCCGATCCTCCAGCGCTGACTGGCGGAACAGACGGGGGAGGGGGCGGGTACAGCTGGCTCTGCCTCTAGATAGGCGGAGCCAGCTGTCACGCACGCAGCTGGGCGGATCCAGATAGAATTGTCGGGGTCCGCTGCGGCGTCTCAGTATACCGCGAGCTGTAGCTCCCTATATACTGAGCCTAGGGTGACGGGGGGACGCTAGTTTGTGTCCTCCTGTTACCCTGAGGAGAACTATGGGGAAAGCCCTGACCCCGTACTTCTCCTTTAAGGCTGTCTGATCACTCGTACCGGGCACGAGGATATTCTTTGTAGCGTTGCAGGTGGAACCGCAATGTGGCAGCTTCGGCTCAATGTTTTGCTGAGTGTCTCTGATGTCATAGAGAAATGACAACCATGATGAGTGTGTGACCTCTGCCATAGTACATATGATGTCTGTAAGGAGGAAGTAGATGTACAGTGATTGGTGCCGGTGGTATATAATACGTATCTCTCCCGTCAGCTGGACCCCGTGGCCTACCGGTTGGAACCGATGATTGTGGCCGATCTGGAGCTGAAGCCGGTTCTCATCCCTCATCACAAGGGGCGGAAGAGGCTTCATCTCGGTGAGTATTTGGGGGGTCAACGTTCCGTTCTTATTGGTCACCGGGGAAGACGATCCCGTAAAGTCTGTTTTGTCTTTTTAGAGCTGAAGGAAAGTCTGACCCGCATGGGATCCGATCTGAAACACGGATTCATCAGCTCCCTGCGCACGGCCTGGCAGACGCTGAATGAATTCGCCCGATTTCACACGTCGTCCGCTCAGCTGCAGGAGGAGCTGGAGAAAGTGGCCGATCAGATAAAGGAAGAGGAGGAGAAGCAGGTGGAAGGTGATCTACGCAGAGCTTTGCTGACCAG